TTACTTAGTACTAAATCTAGTTGTTTATTTTTATACAAGAATTATATAAAATTTTTTAATTGTCTCAAAATAACGCTCATGCGCGTACTCGAAATAACGCGCATATACTCAAAATAACGCGCAAGTGAGCGTTATTACGCGAAAATACGGTAGTTAAAATCAATTTGTTTTAAAAGGACCCAACTAATATTACGCCTATAAATTTTTACCTCCCTAAATGTAATATCTCTCTAAGTGCACATTTGGCTAAATTTTTACATATAGTCTCATCGCATTGCATTTAGAGAGGCCTGACTGTACTAAATATTTTTTGAAATTTATTTTTAAAACTTTAAAGCTTTTAATAAATATATATACAGTAGACAGTACAAAGACCTTATTTACTGTAATACAAACCAATATACTAAAAACAGTATATTAATTAATTTATTAAAAATTTCTACAAGCATATATCTAGTTTTGGCCAATTAGTTTTAAAGAATAAATTACTCACAATTTATAAAATAATTCGTTAAAATTAGAGAACCTGGCACGCCTAAAACCATTTGGCATAAATACTGTAGCATGCCAAGATGCACAGGTCAAATAATGAAAATCAGGTCTGATTTAAAGCTGGTTGCTACCCGATTACTACCCGATTGATGTCAGCTTAAAATCAGATACCTGATTTATATCCGATTTGCCATCATTCGACCTGTGATGCTATACTATAATAGAATTTTCTTCAACCGATCAGATTATTTAATATAATAATTTTATAATAAAGTCATGCCATAATGAGTTTTAGACATTCTGGCATGCCAGTGGCATGTCACCATAGCATGCCAGAGGTGCCATGTCAATGTCTATTATGCCAGGTTAAGTTATAACAAAATTTATTAAAATTTGTTAAAGCTACTTAAGAACTCAAGTTACTTAGAACGATTGGCTATAATAAGTCTCGAAATATAAATCAGGTGACCAGATAAAAAACGTCTTGTGATGTTCTAACACATCAAAAAGGCACTAAAAACAAATGGGAATGTTAATCGATCCCTTCAAGATCGGTAAAGAATCGGTCCTTAAATCACATGAAAACACAATATATTTATATAGATTTAGATCCTGGTAGAGATGTACCTGTCAAGAAAGCCTCTACCCAGGCAGGGACGATGATTTTCTGCGGTGACAAAATGCCAATTCCGTCCGTGATAAATGATTCTGCAAAAATTCTGCAATTGGCCAGAGTTACGTAAAGTCTGCCAGCATTATAATCCGCAAATTCTGGCCAAATTAATGTCAGCAGCATTATGATGACTTTAGATCCTAAATGCAGGCCAAGTTTTAAAAACCAATTCCGTGAACACAGAAAATCATCGTCCCTGTACCCGGGTATTATTGAATTACCCGGTTATCCAGGTAAATAAAAATTTCTAGGGATGTTAAAATTTCGGTAATTTACGTATTTTGCGTAAATTGAAAATGTAATTATAATTTTGAACACTTGACTTTTAGCTTCTGAGTTACAATTCGGATCGTACAAATGATGCAATAATGCTGGCCAAACTTTTTGTAAATCTGGTACTTTATGTATGACGTGTGAAAAATTACATGAAATTTGGTTTTTTGAAAATTACGTAAAATTACGTGTAATGTAAAATTGTAATTCACTTAATTCGTGTACAATCTCTAGATCCTGGAAGAATTTATTTAACATACAAAATTAAATTGATTGAATAGATAATTCGGAGAATATAATACTGGTCTAAATACTATTTAAAGATATTTTATGCGATGGACTTGATCCCCGGAACCGGATCGGACTGAAGACGCAATTTAACATCCCTAAACACAAAAAAAAAATGTAAACTTGTTAATTTCATTCTATATAATTCATTCTTGTGTCGTGCCGCACACGATAACAACTGTACGGATCGTTGCCAAATACATATTAGCCATTCTTTTCTCTCTAAAAAAAAAAGAGGCAATATGACTTTTGGCAACATAAGATAAGCATCATAGGGCAATATATCAGTTTGATTTCAGCTTGTTCAAAAATCACATACTATAAATAATCAATTAGAAAATCAATTAAGATATAAGATATTTTTTGATAAATGTCATTTTTGATTAAGGGAAAAACAGAATTCTTTTTTTTTTTTTATACTTATTCTTAATTTCATACATTAAAAATTTCATTTTTTTTTATATCCGTTTGAACCCATACAAGAACATAAGTTTGCATATCACAGTTCCAGAACGAAAATGACGATGATTTAGTATACGATACGTAAAGGAATAGATTAAAATTTTAGCACGATCGAATTTGCCTAAAAAACACGATAACCACTCAATGTACGGAAACACAGCGAATATGTTTGCATAATTGAGATAGTTTTTGTAAAAAAAAAGAAAAAAAAGAAAATACGAGTTGAAAAAGACTTAACACTAGAAAGGAATCCTATAATGTTTGAGATGCGAGATATAGCAATTAGAGGATAGTAAAAATTAAAGCATAAAAAGATGAAACTTTACCTAGTGTTCGTAGTAAATAGAAATAATCAGTTGGCTATTTAGACCTGCGTCGCCATTTTGCAATAAACTTTCCCTTATTTTCTCTTCGCACAATATCAGAAAACGCGTCAGCATCATCTTCCGAGGATTCCTGTTTTTTTACGATATTATCTTCATTATCATCGGATTTAACGTCGTCAGGAACATTATCAGGTGCCGTATTTGTTACTGAAGAAGGATTAGTGCTTTCGCTTGTTTGATCCGGTAAATCGTCGTTGGCTCTCCGATAACGAGCTTTACGGATCGGAATTTTAATTCCCTGTTTGGCGAAAGCTTTAGAAAGCGCAGTTGATTCTGATGTAATATTTAGGCATAAAATTAAGTTTTATTTGTTTGTCGGAAATTTAGTGTTACTACTGGTTCAAAACCTGAAACGATAATTCGGAAATAATATTACCCCTGTTGCTCTTTTCGTACCTGTCATACCCGGAAACTTTTTTGCGGAATATGCTCTAAAAGCAGAGCTATAAACTTCAGCTGCTATGATCCCGCGAGTGGGTGTGAATCCGTTCTGTGATCTGCAGATTAAATAAGTTAAAAAATGAATTTTAAAGTACACAAAATAATTAATTGTTTATTTGGTTTGACATAAATGTTTGTAAATGCTATGTTTTTTATGATTACTATTAATAACTTACTGATATAGTTGCTCCTTAATGTCACAAAACGAGAATTTTAGGGTAAAGGTACCTTCTGTTCTAACTGACAAGTCTTGAAATATAAAGAATATTCCTAATTTATTCATATGGTCGTTAAGAACATATGCAGACGAAATACTGTGACCCATAAGATTTCGAGTGCACATTGGCGCGTTTAGTGACATGACACTTGAGCTCGAAGAAGAAGGTTGGACAGGAACAGACGAGGGATTAATTACAAGAATACGCTCTTCCTTACAATCTTCGGACCATAGTCCGGCAACAACAACCATAGTGGAATGGTCCATAGAACTACGGCAATATTAATACAATTATATAATTATAAAAATTTTAAAGCGCGATTAATCTAATTTATCGTTTTTTCAAATTTGTTTATTGGATAATTCCTTTATTTCTTGTAAAGTCTGCTCATGTAAAGAGCAAATAAAGCGATGACTCACTATTTACCTTTCAGGTACAGGTGTTCCATCTTCAGTAAACACTAGAAGTCTAATGACAGGAGGTGGGTCTATTGGACGGCGGTCTTTGTCACCGAAACCACACATTCTCGCACGTATAGGCTCTTGAACGACTTCCAGTTGGTACCTGTAACTAATATGAAAAAACAAAGGCATATTTATTTTCATATTTATAATTATCATAATAATTTTAGCATTTGCAAAAGGTCGCTATACGCGTCGGATGATATTATTGCTTTCTTTAGGAATTTATAAAGAAAAAAAAAAAAACCAAAAATTAGTTACTTTGAAGAATTCATTTTTTTTTTTTTATTGAAGGAACATAAAGAGCGAATTCTAGAAGTAACTTGATAAAATAGTATTTATAATACTTTATATGATTTGATTATGTAATTTTCCGTATCTTTATAGACATGCCAGATCATGTGACTTCCGACCTTCGACACTTAAAAAGTCAAAACAATTAACAAAAACGTATTTTTATAACAAGATAGCGGCTAATTTAGACAAAAAATCTATTAGTTTGACGGTTTCATATGGTTACCAGTGAATTTATTAGTTTATATGTTACACTTGATCTCGTAAGTTGATTGGTAGGTGTCTGGTCAGGGCGCTGAATCACATGATCCAACCTTTTGTTCTCTCGCGATAACGATAGGGTACTTATAGTGATCAAGTAGTATGTACGTACGTACGTACGCCACGTTTTCATTGGAAAATACTCTGTGACCGGTTTCCTTACTTGGGCAGGTGCTAGTTTTCATGAGATCATACCCTTTAGTCAATTTCTGCATATCAGCATTTCATTCTCACCTTCTACGAATTCACACAAGGCGACTTTTAAAAAGTATAACAAAAGATGAATTTGATTAATAAATACGTAACCACATTTCATTTGGTTGATATTAATAGCGTATATGCTATACAATTTCCATAAAATCAATACTTTATATGTTGGCCACACATGCCAATTGTAAAGTTTAGAGAAATTGAAGATAAAAGACCTACCTTGCACGACTCTACATAAAGTTCTTTTCTTTTTTTAAATAGAAAAAAAAACCACACTCATTGCAGTTTTCATACCTTTCAACAATTATTAATTTGCTAATAGCCTTGGTTTTATTATTTAAATTGGTCAGAAATATGACCAAAATTAAGAATATATCTACATATTATACTCTGGTTACTATACCAAGATCGCAGGGTATAAATCAGTTATACACTGGGCTCTGTGTTTAAGCGGAAATGAAATTTCCACTTATACCTATGACACAAAGTGTATAACTATTACTAAATCACTGGTCTGACTATATTGATTACAAATATTCTTGTCTCTTAAAAAGATAAAAACTGTCTTAACCGTGCGTTGTCTTTACTAAGGTTGACGTTTTAAATTATATAAATGTGCTTTAAATTTCGAAAATAAATTATTGTAAACATGCCACATTAATTGTTGGCCCTTTGGGTTAAAATACTGTAATGGAGTAAACATGAAAAACTGAATAATGCAATTTATAGAGTTTATTATAAAGAAATGAAATAGGGTTACAGTCATTGATATATTTTTTAAATGAATTTTTTTTGCGATAAAGAATTTCAAAAATCACGAGAAGGTAAATTAATATTGCAAATTAATTTCATATATATTTTAACTTTCCTCTTTTTTATTGCAGGATTGTAGGTGTATAGTCAATAAATTTACGAAAAAATTATATTTTCAGAAGAAAATGAAATTAAGGAGAATAGAACTTCCATTTTTATAGCACAAGCAGCAGATGAAACTTTTATAAATCGTATAACGTTACACCTTACTATGACATTCGTCCCCAAAAAAAATTATTTTGAGCAAACTTCGTATAAAATGATTTTATCAATGAAGCAAAATTATACGTATGAAGAAATCTTATTAATTCAGATGGAAAAGGAATGTAGGCTGATTTTGCAAAAACAAGTTTGCTTTTTTTTCCTGCTGTTAATTAATATGAAATAACTGGTTCCTACCTTTGGTTTTAATTATCTGTTCTGAATAATCCTCCGATTCTAAAGTTAGTATATATATATATATTGGATTCCTTCACACGAGCAAAATCTAAAAAAAATTTCAATATTATGTCGATCTCATATTAAAAAAAAATGGAAATATGCATCCTGTGTAGATAAGATTTTTAAGCGTGGAACGGCGGTTATTTCTTTTTGCTTCAACATAAGTGTTATTCTCTCAGGATTATTTAGGCCTTAAATATTAATATAGACTATTTGATTAGTCAAAGTTAGATAGTTCAAGCCAGATGACATGTGAATATATATAAATATGTAGGCAACTTAACAAAGCATTTTTGTTTCGATCATGTGTCATGGCGAATAGATGTTTTTCACCTTATAAATTTAACTATTGTAAAACTGTTGATTAGTAAATCACCTATTATTTATATTAAATGCCAATTTGACTTACAGTATAATTAGGTATATACCATATAAACATAGTAAAAATCAAAAAAAAATTGTATATATATTTTGGTGAGTACTCGTGTATAAATCTTTTGCCTCAGTAATTAATCTATTTTCCTATCTGAATACCCGAATACAAATGGGCACTAGGAATGAATATTAACACCATGGCGGATCACGTGAAATTGCGGACAACCCAAATCCAATCATTTTAACATATTTAAAGTTTTTTTTTATCGATTTTTGTTAGTTCAATGTTTTATAAAGAATTAAATTACCTATCAGCAAAGAAGCTGTTTAGTATAATAATTATCTAAAAAAATTCAATAAACTTTAAACCTTAAAGGTAAAAATAAAAAAGCTCTTCATAGTGGGTAGTTAATTTAACTCGTTCTGTAAGAATTCTGATTGGCCAAAATTAATACTTTATCACATTAATCTATTGCAATTTCAACTTGTGCATGTAAAGTTCGAGCATTTGTTTAAAAGGAAATATTCATTATTTTGTTTTTACGTAATAGAAGAAATTGGTAGAATATTTGATCCCACTTGAATCCAACATTTATATGAATGTTATACTTCTAAAAAGAATCTGGCAAAATTTAGATGACTTCGATATAAAAATTTAATATATGTGTAATTCAGGCCAAAGTTCTTATCGCAATCTTTGTGCAACAATATTAAGATGAGATCATGTGACAATAAAAGCAGTGTTATTTTCGGGTTGGCCAATGACTAATTTCATATTAATCATTTTTTAATAATATGGTGCTCCAAGTTACTTCTCATCAAAAGGCGTCAATATTCAATATTTCAAATATATTTATACAGTATATACCATCCAATCAATTCTAATTTTAATTGGATAAAAATTTTTAAATAAAATTTTATATATATAATTTTTGAAAATAACTAAAATTACTACAGATAATTATTACCTGTGATCTACAATATATAAACTAAAATAATTAGCTTCTTTAAAATTAGAGTAAGAGTAAAGGTTAAAGATTAGAATAAATCTTTATATATAGTAAAATTTAGCAATAAATTTTTTTTTGCTAGAGCTTAAAAGGTATTTTTTTTTACATAAAATTGATTTACATATTACACCTGATCCTGAATTTGATTGGCAAATTGACTACAAGTAATAATCACCTGTAGCAATTTCCTTTTTATAAGAAATGCCAATTTTTATTATTATTAATTTTAAATATATAACTTTATTATGAAGTTTTTAGAAAAATTTAATTGATAAATTTGATAGAGCTAATGATAAAAATCTATTTTTATCAGCTAATTTTTTAAAAATATTTTTAAAAATTAAATTTATAATTATTTTTACTAGTGTATAAAACATGGGTATAGTCATAACTCAAAATTTTTGCTTATAAAACCACTTTGGGGTTCTAACAAAAAACAAACAATACAAAATTTTAGTATAAAATACCCTCTAACCCCATCCTTAACCCTAATATTAAGTAGTTTTTATTTTTATAAAATTTATATATTATACAGATTTGCATATTAATTAATTAATATCCATGTTTTATACACTAGTTTAGATTTGAAAATTTTCTTTTAAAAAACTTAGTAAATTTGAAGAGGAGTGACTTGGAGCACTATAGTAAAAATTTTTAAATATAAATTTTACTTTATTAAAAGATTATGACTAAATAATCTCTAAAAATAATATTTAGTCATTAAATGACAATAGCCACAATAGTATAAGGTAGACTTTGTAATGAAGCAACACATTGAATTATATTTATATTTGAAGATTCATAATTTTTTCTTGTATGGTTAGTTTATTGAAATTTTGAATTATGAAAGTTCATTATCTTAACCTTTTTTCAGATAATTAAATATTATTGCACAATTTATTCAAGATAAATTTTAAAGATAAATTACAAGTGAATTTTCAAATAGATATTGTAAACGACTAATGTTTAACTGGCCGGTTCACAACTGATTAGAGTACAAATATATTTGGGAGACTGCAACTTGAAATATATTACAGCATATCAAAATATGTAATATAAAGCACAAATTATAATTGTAAGTAGTAACTTTTTGTAAAATATAGTAATATGTTAACGGTTATTTTACTAGTTGCTTGAGAGATTCGAGCATTATCAAAAATTTTGTGTTAGTAGACACTTAATCAATATAAAAATACGAATAAACTATTAGCAATTAGTAAACTTGCCAGTATAAATTACTTAATTTTAATTCTACATATTCCAGTCTAATACTAGCTATGCTAAGTCTATGATACTAATGCTAGTTACTTTAGCATGTAAAGTCACATGTTTTCTATTTTCTATGTACTATATATTAATTATATAATACTCTGCTTTACTATTTGTTGTTCATGCCTACTTTCATTATAATTTCTCACGAGATCATATCATGACTGGGAATCTTCTATGGGAAGATTCCCAGTTATAAATAATCACATAAAAAATTATAATAAAGATAGGCATAAAAAATGTCCTTCAAGCCATCTATATCCTATAATCATCGAGAATCTCTAAGCTTCTAGAAAATTAATAATACTAATAAAGCTAATTAACCAACAAAGTTGATGAACAGATTAGCATCTTTACATGTTATTCATAGACAACTTTGACTAATTTGGC